TTGGGGAAAACTTTTACAATATAAATCAAAGGGCAAATTTCCTTTATATGTAAAGAACAGTGCAAATCAATAAAAAACACCAAAAATCCAACAGAAGAGTGGGCAAAGGAAATAAACAGACAATGCATAGGAACATAAACACAAATGGCTTGTAAACACATGAAACAGCATTTGGATTCACTTCTGATGAAGATGTGTGCGTAAAATCAACTATATACCACTTTTCATCCATTGGCCTGGCTACAACCCCACGGCTGGATGGCTCACAGTGTTGGTGAAGCAACACTCTCACACACAGCTGAGGGTGGTGTAACCCGTCTCCTCCCTCTTGGGCCATTATCTACCCAAGTCGGTGCGTGGCTGGCCTGCAACCCTGCTCTATCTAGGAACACCTTCTGTGAGGGAACACACCCATGAACACGGAGACACATCCACGAGGCTGCTCACTGCTGCACTGACCAGAAGCAACCAAGTAGTCCACAGCGGACTGATTAATACCCATCATATGTCCACGAACCTGAATGCTGGGCAGCCACTTAATAATTAGGTGGCTCTATAGTAGCTTGGTACCAAGAAATGAAAAAGCAAAGTATAGACCCATGTGTCCAAGTGTAATGTCTATTTTAAGATAAGGGTCTATAGTTTTGTACATGTCCAAGAAATTTCTGGAAGGATTCACAAGAGACTCAACAGTAGCTTCTATTGCAGAGAGGGATTAGGGGTCTGGGATGTGCAGGCAGAAAAGGGAAAAGTACAGGGATGTGCAGACAGAGAAGGGAAATAAGGATTTCCAGGGTAGACTGCATTTTTAATTCTTATGGCTTCTGGCTTGTTCTAAGAACTACTCAGAAATATCTTAACAAATCTCTAGTGAATAAAAATTCCTATTTTAAAATCTGTCTAATCCCTGTTCATGACTCCATTTGGGCAACATCAAACACTGTTTGTAAGAAAGGAAGGTCATTTTGGTTTTCATAACCTCCCTTTGGAATGCTCTGGGCCCTGCTGGTCCCCAGGATTTACCTTACTCCAGTCTTCCTGCCAACAGCACCCCCAGACCCATGCCCAGGAGCCTGGCCCCTCTGACAGGCTAAAGTGGAAGAGATGTGAGTGGCCTTCAATTTAGGAGTCTCATCTGAACAGGCTCACCCCAACTGCCCATTTTAAGTCAGAGAAAGACAAATACCATATGATTTCACTCATATGTGGAATTTAGAAAACAAAACAGATCGTAAGCATCCACTGCATGAAAATAACCAAGTGGCTTTATCATTGTGAGGACCCCCAAGAGAAGGAAGGTGTGACAAGCAAGCTTGGCAGGGATGGGGGGCCCCCACATTCTCACAGGTGCATAGTTTCAAAGTAGAGACAGGTTGTAAGGGATCCCGGGGCCCTGACACTTGAGGACAAGCCACATTCTAGCACAAGGCTAGAGCTGTTGGTGGGGTGGGGCATGTTTCAGGACATCTTGCATGATTAGAACAGTGTGAGGAGCAGAATTCTATCTATCAGCCTTTGTGGTTTTATTCTGAAACTGCCCAAATTAGGCTCCACCGCTTGGGACCAACACCAAACTTTTGGTTTTAATGAACCCATTTCTGGTTTTATGGAAAAGCTAGACTTTTATATGGACTCATTCAGAGGTGGATAACCATCTGGTCCACTCGGACTCAGGCCACTGCCAGCCTCCGTGTCCCACAGTAGGGGAGAGCCTGTGGGTCCCACCATCCCTCACCACTCTACGATTCCTCCCCACAGGGAAGGTGGCAAGTCCTCTGTTCAACAGACCCTTCTACAAGGTTTACTCTGCAGTGTCAACCTTCCCAGTCAGAGAGGGGCCAAGGGGGGGGTGCTCAATGAATCCTGGAATGTTCTCCTACAGATGGTAGTCATGGGAGCTTCATCCTTCAGGTGCCTCTGATGAGAGAGGGCTGCAACTCTGAGCCTGAGAGGGGCCAACAACTGACTTCTGGAAGGTTCTCCTCCAGTGGACTCCCTGGAATCTGAACCATGTGTCTTCTCCAGGTGAAGGCTTTTCTTCACCTGCTGCATGCTGAGGGGTGCTCAAGCAATCCATACGGGGACAATGAGCTCAGACTCCCACCTGGGTTCCAATCCCTGGTGACCTTGAGGAAATGACTCACCCTCTCTAAGCCTCAGTTTATTCATCTGTAACACCACCTACCTCTTAGTGCTGTTAGGAGGACCGCTGAGATAGTATATTTAAGAAGTGTGCCTGCTCAACAGAAGCACCCAATAAGAATTCCCTGGCCTCATTATTGGTGGTGGTGGTATACGAAGGAGGTAGGAAACCATCTGGTGAGGAGCTCATGCTGCAAAGTACCCAGATATGGGTCTAAGAGCACCAGCCATCAGACCTCAGATGAATTACTTGAACCTCACTTTTCCTAACCTATAGAATGGGGGAAGCATCTGCCCCTCCTGTGGTGGCTGACATGAAGTAGGTGCATGGCTCACATCCCTGGGATTAGCACATACTAAGCGCCCAATAAATGTTAAGACGGTGTCCCTTTGACTATTACTATTATCTTTCATTATTAACAACAGTTATTAGGTTTGTGAAATAAAGCATGCGCTGGGACTGAAGGCCATCCCTCCTTAAAACTCCAAGGAGGTTTTCCTCCAGTGTGATTTCTCAGACCCAGATGAGGAGGAAGCCCTGCTTCCCCATCACAGTTATCCTGGGCCTTCTCAGCTCTTCGGACTTTCAGCTGGAGGACTGAACAAGTCCTGGGGACTCCCCCACCCTTGAAACGCTCACCGGATGGGGTACAGCAGGCACTGGGGGCTTGCTCCCTCAACACTCATCTCCAGACTTTCTCCCCTGCCTTCCTGGAAAGCCAAATACTTGATCCTCCAGCCAACCCTGAAGTCCAGGGCACTGGTCATGTGGCACAGCTCTGGTCGATGAGGGACAAGGAGAAGGTTATTGAGTCGGTCTTCAAGGTCTTTTCAGGTTCAACTAAACATTCAGATTCACAAGGCCTCCTGAGTTCAAGTAGACCTGGGGCTGCTTCCTCAGAAGGAATAGGCAGGAACTGCAGTTTGCCAGTTGGACTTTTCTGTGAGTGTCCAGGAGCTAGGTGGGAGCCTGAGGGTATGAAACACCCCTCAAGGAGGGAGTGTGGAGCCATCCCCGTTTAAGACCCTCATGTTCTCAGGGGCCAATATCTCCGACAATCACTCCATGGGTGTGCCTAACAGGAGATTTTTTTTTTTTTAAAGATTTATTCTTTGATTTTAGAAAGAGGGACAGCCAGCCGGGGTGAGGCAGAGGGAGAGAGCATCTCAAGCAGACTCCCCGCTGAGCATGAAGCCAGACGCGGGGCTCGATCCCAGGCCCCTGAAACCATGACCTGAGCTGAAACCAAGGGTCAGACGCTCAACCAACTGAGCCACCCAGGCGCCCCAGGAAATTCTAAATTAAGGCCATCCACACTGGTTTGAGCTGGTCACAAGCAGCTTTAGCCCATCGGAACTGGCTTGAGGCATCCGACATTGTTTTGATTTGGTTTAGAACAGTCTAAGCTGGTTCAGAGAAGTGAGTCTTCTGGAATGCTGCAAGTGAGAGGTACTTCTCAGAGCACCTAGGCATGGATACTCCCTCCTGGTCCTTCTCCACCGCCCACCCCTCCAGTTAGGGAGCTGACTCAAGAGCCAGGGGAGTCTAATGTCCAAATCATTCCCCTAGGCAGTTTGAGGGAGTTCTACCCATATGACACTATGATACTTTGAAAAGTGAGCTTCTTGGATCCACAAGAGCCCACCTCACTGGGACAGTGTGACTGGTACACGTCATCCTGGCATTCTGACCACCCAGGAAAGTGATGCATCTTCCCTATTTATGAGATATCGAGTCCTCTGAATCAGGAACCTAATCAACCCTACTATGGGGGCATGGAGTGGGTGTTATCTCTTCTGGCCAATCATTAGGTCCTGAAAAAAACTAAAACTAGCCAGTTGGATTGGAATTATTATAACCTATTGTGACCTGATGAAAACCAGTTTGATCCAGTTTTAACCATAAGCACCACATGTAAACAGCTGAGCAAAACCCATTTGAGCCTGCTTGAGTTGGTCAAAATGGAATCAAGTGTATTTGAACAGTATAACATGGATTCCAACAGTGCAAAACTGTTTTTAATCTAGTTTGAGCAACACTGAGCCAATATAATGTTGAACCTGCCGAAATTGGGTTGAGCCACTCAATTCATTTTCAACCAGTTTCAATTGGGGGTTATCCTGATTCAAACTAGTCCCATGAAAAGATATTTGGGGGCCTCAGTTTCCCAGATGTCAGCTCTTTACTAAAAAGGAAAACCAGGGTAGGAAAGGTTCTAAAGTTATTTATCTCTGATGACTGATTTACCTTACTCCCATAAATATTCATAAAAATTAATTACCAGTTTACTGAAAGAAGTAATAAAATCCACACTTTTTATTGTAACACTAGCAACAGCAGGAAACAGCCTCCTGGCTAAAGAAAGATCCTATTTAAGAGGCCCTTTATGGTGTTGTTGGAGGACCTTGGAAAGGAGCAGCCCAAGCTTCCCTGAGGCTAGTCAGACAGTGCAAAGTTGGCTCAACACTGAATGCTGAAATCCAATATTAACCCCCTCAAAAAAGACAGGAGAATGGAGGGAAATGAAGTCTGATAAAGGAGTAACAGCCTGTATTTGGATGCAATTATATCCACCCTAATCAAATGTGTTAGATCATAATGAGCTGCTTATACAGACATATTTCAATTTTTAACCCGATCGATAATCAACTGAACCACCCCCCTCCATACCAATATGGGCTTACAAAGTGCTCCAACAACCAAATGCCTGAGCACCTTCGCTTATCATAACACTGTTTTTACCTTGAAGGTGTGCTTTCTACACAAGCTTTGCAGGAGAAAACCAAAAGTAAAAATACCATTTGCTTTGAGAGAAAAATGCAACTGTTCTCTTAAGAGAAAATTCAAGGTCACTTACCAGCCACAAAACTTGGAAATGATGCCACCTTCTTTGTCTGTTAGGAAATATGAAAAAAAAAAAAAAAAAAAAAAAAAACAAACACATGACAGTTGTAAGTAGATGGCCTGAAAGATCTAGACTAAGAAGAGTACCGTATGTGAAAAGCTAAACCCCACTGAGTGTCTGATGGTCCTAAGAAGTCAGCTCCAGAAAGCAAACCAATGGCATTCAGGCACCATGGCGTTTAGGCAGGACACATGGAATCCATTCCCATGGGAAAACTTGGGGTACAAAAGGCCATCATCTAAAACATAGGGACCCCCAGATTTGCATGTCACTGCTAGAAGGGAGCCTAGAGGCCATACAACCAACGATTCTCCCCTGCCTCCCTGGAAAGCCAAATACGTGATCCTCCAGCCAACCCTGAAGTCCAGGGCACTGGTCATGTGGCACAGCTCTGGCATACAACTAGGTAACAGCCACATTAGTGTGTGTAACCCAGGAAACCACTCAAGACTGGCACAACAAACTCCACAGCTAAATACAGACAAGAGGACACACTGTAGAGGAGAGGAGGGGCAGATACATGGTCAAGAGCTAAATGGACCCGTGCGACTGTCGGAGGGAGGGGGAATGCCATATGCTTGGAGAGGGGAGAGAAACAGATTTTCACACCAGTGAGCCTGCATGGGGAAGACAAATCCCCATAACATTTGGCTTTGAAAACCAGAGGGACCTATTTCATGAGTTCTTACAACCAGCAGTACTTAAAGCCTGGAACTTTAAAAACCAGCAGGATCATGGGAGAGCTGGGAGGCTGAGAGGAAACTGAGTCTCCGACCTTAAAAAGATGCTTCTAAACATCCTTTAGTGGAAAAGACAGCCCTTCACAACGAAGAATGTTCTGGCCCAAATGTCAATGCTGCCATTGTTGAGTAACCCTAACTTAGAACATAACTGTCAGATAATGGAGTAGAATGAGTTTCTGTCAAACCGGGGAGCACAAATGAACCCCACACACACGCCATTGGAAACACATGAACACACAGTGGTATGAGCCTGAATCAGCAGGAAAGAAACTTTTCTTCCTTCTCCTACAGGGACGCCCAAGTTTGCTTGACTGAATCCCCACTTCCAAGGCACTGGCTGGGATGAGAACATGGCGGAAAGGGTAAGCAGACCGTGATGGCACGGGTAGCTCCAATACTAGGACCTTAGCCCACAACTCTTATCCTTGGAAAAAATTACCTCTGGGGTGTTGTTATTGTCCACGGGTCCATTGAGATCAGAGCGTTGCTGCTTCCTCGGCTGCTCCAAACCATTGCACACCTGGAAACCAGGAAGTGAAAGATGAATATGGTGCTTTTATAGGTTAGAGAAATAAACCAAGATACAATATGATACAATTTTATGAAATGCATGTGTACGTAAGTATGTGCTTGTATATATATGTGTGTGTGCACATACAGACATAATTTAAATTCTTCTGCAATTAACATGTATTCTTTTATATTTATAAAATGTTTTTGAATCATATTTTCTTTTTTTTACCATCTGTCACCACACATTATTACAATATTATTGACTATATTCCTGCGCTGAACTTTTCAACTCTGTGACTTATTTTATAACTGGATGTTTGTACCCCTTAATCCCCTTCCCCTATTTTGCCCGTCACCTCCCCATTACCCTCCGGAAACCACCAGTTTGTTCTCTGTATTTATGAGTCTGTTTTTTTTGTTTGTTCGTCTGTTCTGTCTTTTAGATTCCACATATAAGTGAAACCATATAGTATTTGTCTTTCTCTGTCTGGCTTATTTCACTTAGCATAATACCCTCCAGGTCCATCCATGTTGTTGTAAATGGCAAGATCTCATACTTTTTTATGGCTGAGCTATGTTCCGTTGTGTGTGTGTGTGTGTGTGTGTGTGTATACGCCACATCTTCTTTCTCCATTTTTCTATTAATGGACACTTGGGCTGCTTCCGTATCTTGGCTATTGCAAATAATGCTACAATAAACATGGGGGTGCATCTATCTTTTCAAATTTGTGTTTTTGTTTTCTTTGGGTAAACACCCAGCAGTGGAATTACTGAATTATATGGTAGTTCTATTTTTTAATTTTTTGAGGAACCCCCCACCATACTGTTTTCCACAGTGGCTGCACCAATTTACATTTCCACCATCAGGGCAAAAGAATTCCCTTTCTCCACATCCTCAGCAATGCTTGTTATTTCTTATCTTTTTGACTTTAGCCATTCTGACACATGTGAGGTGATACCTCCCATTGTAGTTTTGATTTGTATTTCCCTGATGCTGAGTGATGGTGGACATTTTTTCATGTGTCTGTTGGCCATCTGTATGCCTTCTTTGGAAAAGTGTCTATTCATGTCTCTGCCCATTTTTTAATATGGTTTTTTTTTTTTTGGTGTTGAGTTGCACAATTTTATATATATTTTAGATATTAACTCCTTATTGGGTATGTCATTTGTAAATACCTTCTGCTATTCAGTAGGTTGTCTTTTTGTTTTGTTGATGGTTTCCTTTGCTGGGCAAAAGCTTTGTATTTTGATGAAGTCCCAACAGTTTATTTTTGCTTTTGTTTCCCTTGCCTCAGAAGATGTATCTAGAAAAATGTTGCTATGACCAATGCCAAAGAAATTACTGCCTGTGTTCTCCTCTAGAATTTTTATGGCTTCAGGTCTCACATTTAGGTCTTTAATTCATTTTGAGTTTATTTTTGTGTATGGCATAAGAAGCTGGTCCAGTTTCACTTTTTTTGCACGTAGTCAGCTGTCCAGTTTTCCCAGGACCATTACTGAAAAGACTATCTTTCTCCCATTGTATATTCTTGGCTCCTATGTTATAGATTACTTGACCATATAAGCATGGGCTTATTTCTTGACTTTCTATTCTGTTTCATTGATCTGTGTGTCTATTTTTGTGCCCGTACCATACTGTTTTGATTACTACCGCTTTGTAGTGTATCTTGATCACTGGGATTGTGATACCTCAGCTTTGTTCTTCTTTCTCAAGACTGCTTTGGCTATTTGGGATCTTTTGTGTTTACGTACAAATTTTAGGATTATTTGTTCTAGCTCTATGAAAAACGCTATTGGTACTTTGATAGGGATTGCACTGAATCTGTAGATTGTGTAGGATGGACACTTTAACAACATTAATTTCCATTCTATGAGTATGATATGTCTTACCATTTGTGTCATCTTCATATTCTAAATCAGATTTTCTAATTTTATTATTTAATATTATTTAATTGTGGTAAAACACACGTAACATTAAATTTACCATCTTATCCACTTTAAGTGTATAGTTTGGTGGCATTAAGAACATTAACATTCTGCAACTATCGCCACCATCCCTCTCCAGAATTCTTTTCATCTTGCTCATCTGAAGTTATGTATGCATTAAACATTAACATTAAACAAAATTCCCCATTCCCCTCTCCCCCCAGACCCTGGTTGTCTCTGTCAATTTAACAACTCTAGGAACCTCATATAAGTAGAATCTTCTCTTTTTGTGACTGGCTTGTTTCACTTAGCATGATGCCCTCAATGTTCATCCAGGTTGTAACATGTGTCATAATTTCCTGCCTTTTTAAGACTGAATAATATTCTACTGTTTGGATATACCACATTTTATTTATCCATTCATCTATCAATGGATGTTTGGGTTCCTTCCTCCTTTGGCTATTGTGAATAATGCTGCTCTGAACATGGGTACAAATATTTCTTAGAGTTCCTGTTTCAATCCTCTGGGTATACACCCTTAAGTGGAATTGCAGGATTACACTGTAATTTTATTTTTAATTTTAAGGAACCCCCATATTGTTTTCCAGCAACTGTACCATTTTACATTCCCAGCAACAATGTCCAAAATCATATTTCTAAAATACCTGATTTCTTAGTTTAATGCAAATTCTAAACTCTAGAACCTAAATTCTTTGGTTAATGCAAATTAGTCAATCTACTACTAGAAAAAACAAAATGTTCCAAGGACACATCACAAGTCTTCTCTTAAAAAGGACATCAAACCAAAATTTTAATTAACAAAATTTAAAGTTTAGGTATCTCTATTTGGTGCCTTGTGCCATCCAGAAGATAGAGGATAAATAGAAGGATAGAAGATAAATCACTCTACAAATCCCAAAGGAGGTTTTAGGAAGCCATCATGTGAAGTTTCAGAACTGTCTGGAAATAAATTATCAAGCAGTAATAATATAATGATGATGATGATAATGATGACATTAACGAAAAGTTATACTTACAAATAAATACATTTATATTATAAATATAAATATCTACCACACTCGTGTTTCTTTAGAAATAAGTAAGTTACACTCTTTCCACTCCTGCTTTACAGTTGACAAGACTGAGGCTCCAGGTGTTGGCAATAACGGACTGGTTCCCACAGGTCTAGGAGGCATAGCAAGATGTTGCTGCTGGTCTTCTTCCCCGGCTAGACCGTTACTGTTGTGTTCCTTAATGTCCTTCAATCTCTCTTGGAGGGCTAGAGAAGAATGAAGAGACATTGGCCCACCCTCCTGACACTGATGACACCAAGCAGACCAAGGATTCCTAGCTGAGTGTCCCCTCCATAACTACAAACACTAGTGCACCTCAGAGTCAGTGTTGTGGGGGGTGGGGAGGGCAGGGATGGCTCAGATAGGAGGTGGGAAAAGTGGGGCTGCGCTTCAAGCATGGGGAAGATTGTGCACAGAGGAAGAAAGGAGGGCATCACCATCTCCCAAGAGAAATCAGAACTCAAGCTACAAGAAGAAATGAGGCTTTCCTGGAATGGAGGGGATACAGAGATGTCGCTGGGGCCCAGGAGGGTCTGATGTCTGGTTGGTCCCTGCTTCCTTTGCTGGAAGCCCAAAGAACTGTCCCTACCCCCAAGCCCTATGAGCTCTCAGATAATGCACATGGGCCCTGGCTTCATCCTGCTGCCCCAGTAAGTTCCAAGGTGGGGCTCTGGGGCTCGGGCAGGTCTGGGACTGCTAGCATGCTCCTCCGCCCGTCCTAGACCTCCTTCTGGGAGCTGAACCCATCCTGCCCTAGATGAGAGGACTGTGATCCACCCGGGGTCTCCATCCCAGTAGACCCCGTGCTGACCAAGGCGAGTGGACAGTGCCCCTTCTCATAGGGCTGAGCCTGACTTGGGGATGACTCCTGCCAGGGTCCTCCTGGAGCCAGGTTCATTTCCCAGCCTCCTAGTTAAGTCTTCCCTCTGCTTCACTGGTTCTGCACCTCCCTTTGTGGCCAAGGTAGACCAGGCAAAATCTCCCAAAGGGTACAATGGAAACTCTCACCTCCAATGCTGTTCCTATCCACCTTAAGTAAAACTCAAATTTGTGACGTCCTCCCAGAAAACCTTCTGTTGTCTTGTATTCTTGGCTATTTCGAGGTCTGCTTAGAGCACATGTGTTTTCCCTCTTGTTTGAAAGAGCTCTCGTCTAGTGACCTTTCCTAGGCTGAGTTCACAGACTTCATTTCCTGAAGGCCTGCACTGCCTTACTAGAAGCTAGATGGATGATAGTCATCTCCAAAAACCCTAAGGGAACAAACCAACCAACTGACAGATGAAAACGGGTCAACCACATCTATTATAGGCTGGATATGTTCCCACCAATTTCATATATTGAAGCCTAACCTCCAAGGAGATGGGACATTTGAGATATAATTCGGATTAGATGAGCTCGTAAGAATACAGCCCTCATGAATGGGATTACTGTCCTTACAAAAGAGACCCTAGAGAGCTTCCTCACCCCCTCCACCATGTGACGACACAGCCAGAAGGCTCTGGCTATGAACCAGGAAGTGGCCCCTTACCAGACACCAGATCTGCTGGGGCCTTGATCTTGGACTTCCTACCTCCACAACTGTGAGAAATAAATGTCTGTTGTTTATAAGCCACCCTGTCTATATTTTTGTTATAGCAGCCCGAACGGACTAAGATAACACCACTTCTACAAACGTTACGGCTTGGGGTGGAATCTAAATTTCCTGCCATGAATGTAGGGCAACAGACTCTCATCAGGGTGCCAGATGCACTGTGGGAAACGGCAATGTCGGGACTCCTGCTCGTCGTACACTGGGTGCCTTTGGCAAATGGAAATGCCCCTCTGGGGGATGCAGCCCCCATGGGGTGAGGGCTTGGCCAGGGGGCATAGGCTGGATGCTGTGCCCCCACGCCAGTCCTTGAAACGCCTGGCATGGAGCCTATTGGGCAATACAGGGCCTCAGATCCACTTATAATGACAATTTCTCCCCAAAGCTTCTACAGGCTAGACCCTTTCCTCCGTGTCAGCA